TAATTTATTTTCAAATGCTGTTGTTCTCAACTTTTCAGTTCCTCGTGGAATTATATAATAAATTTCGCAACCAATGCATATGCAGTGTTGTTGCATTAAATGTAGACTGCACATAGCAATTTGAAAGCATTTATTGGTCTATGATCTTGTATTGTACTGATGTTCTATTATGTCAGTAATTGCAAAATGTTTTTTTATATAGATGGTACTGATTTTGTAAAATGTTTGTCTGAGATTCAAAATGAATTTTTTCTGAATAAATCTTTTGATGGAAGTCTGAAAGGTTTTTTAAAAATCATTTTTATTGAATATTCATGAATAGACTTGACAGATTTTAATGAATTTCCTTATGCACCACCCCAGGCTATGATTCCATAGGTCATAATATTGGAAAACGATGCATGATGAAACATTAATAGTGTCTTCACTTCAAATATATTTTTCAAGTCTGAACCTATAAACACATTTTCTTAATTTTTTTGTTAATTCAAGTGAATGTTTTTTTCACTTCAGGCAACAATCTATATAAATTCCTGAATATTTCATTTCTGGGGTTCTGTTTAATTTAAGAGTTCAATTGCATTTTTGAAAATGTTTATGAAAACATTTTGAACTATGAATTTTGGTTGATATTTTTCACTACATGAATATGTCATGAATTTAATTTTCGTGATATTGAGTGTGAGCAAGTCATAACTCAAGTTATGTTTCAAAATTGACATGCCAACTTCAGGCTTCGATATGGTCTCATCCCAGTTATCTCCATCCACTACATATACAGTGTCATATGGATATAGATCACCATCAAGATTTGTGTTCAGTGAATCAATAATGTGAATCAAAAAAGGACAGGTCCTAAAACCGTGCTTTGAGGAACACCATACTTTGTTCTTTGTTGGTTATTCTTATATTAATTCATTTTTACGAATTGTTCTTGTTTCTTAAGTAACTTCGGTAAAGTTCAAGGCATACATCTCTGATTCCGTATTTTGTTAGTTTCTGCAGGAGTTCAGACTGAGATACAGTATCAACAGGTTTCTTCATATCTAAAAATATTCCAATCACTTTTTTGTTAGTATTCAGAACATTATATACAGTGGTGGTCCTGCAACAGTGGCGCGGTGTCCCATATCTCTATTTAGGAAACAGATAGGAATCTAAATTTCTATAATATTACCTTATCACTCGAGCTCGACAAAATAAAAATATTGGCGATCACACAGGGTGTTCAATTTTTTTCTGGGCGGATCCCAACTGTGTTTTTTCAAATGGCAACCTATATTTTTTATCGTTTTTTCGGTTTATACATAGAAAATAAAAGACACTTTATGTATATCTTCACTTCTGAAATATTGACGGTTTTCGAGATATCTAGCATGACAGGTTTTTTTCCAATATTCGTCACTCAGAATATTTGAAATTATAAAGTTGTGCAAAGTCCAATTGAATTTTTTTCTGGTCAAATATTCTACATTGGTAACTCTTCCAAACGATATTAATATGCTTAAACTTAGATACTTAAGTTAAGTTTTCTTTGTCATCATTTTTGTCGCTAAGTTTTACCTTGCAAGTAAATAAAACCGAGTGATTATCATTCTGTGTTTTTCTCTTCAACTTATCACAGCAATAGTAACAACAATTAGGGTAATCATTGGCTTTCGCAGGCCAGATTGATGACAGTAAATCATTGGCTGTCGCGGGCCGTCGTTTGGAGAACCCTGTTCCAGACTATCGAGGTTGCAAGTGATGTTCGTGTCTCCAATTATGCGCATGGCTCGTATATGGATGGAATCCAGCAGCTTCAGTTTTCTTATTGTAAAGTAATCTCCCAAATGATCTTCAATAAAGTTTGATATGAAAAAAAACTAACTCAATCGTGGAAAAAATGTGTGCAACATGTGCAAAAGCTATTTTTACATCAGTACCATGAATAACTATCCTCATTTTACACGAACCTGTTTTCAAAGTTCCAACAATGGGCCATTGGCCGTTATTTGAATTTCATACCGACCACCCGCTGATTGAAATAAAAGTCAAACAGTAAAATAGATCAGAAACAAAGATCTAGGTCTAGGCTATTAAATATTCAGCTAGTTTATTATCTGAACGCTGCTTTACCCGAATTATCATATGTAAATTCTCTATTATCTGAACCAATTAATTACAGTAACGAAGGTCCTAGTACCCGGCCCTTTCAGGAAAGTCCTGCAAGTGAATTAATTGACTTCATGGGGTACGAGTTGAAACTGAAAGATTTATAACGGCTATTAAACGGTTTAGGGCCTTTTAAGATGCTCGAACTGGATTTTGATAGATGGCTTTAAAATTTAATGCGGATACTTTTTTCAACCGAGTCGATTTGTTTATTCGTCAATACTAAGTTGGGAAGTGGAATGGTAATCCTCGGTGGGGTGAAAAAAATCTATATAATTGTAAGTGTTTCGAAAATACGCTGTCTGTTCAAATTTTTCTCCAAAAATATGTAATCATTTATCAATTTCTATTTTGTTTCCTTCAAAGTACTCCCCTTCAATCTTGCGGACAGGAAAAAGTCGCAGACCGTTTGTTTTATTTTTGGCTACCAGACCACAAATGCATGTGCTGTCATTATTTTAACCACAATGGTATATATCAAATACATTTTAGCTGGTTCAAACCCCTTTGGTTTTCCAAAGGTGCCTTTCTTTCCGGTCAGTCAGGGATCTAATATCACTTCCGGATATTTGAATTCCTTTGACAAGTGTATCTCTTCACCTCGATGTTTCAGAAGTGCTTGGCCGCTTTCTTGTTTCGTTTTGGTGAATGGTGAATTTTGGTCAATCTTGTTATAGTATTCATGACCTTTTCTAAACGTACTCTCACTATATCATTGTATTTGCTCTGGACTTGGATTACTAAGTGGTTTGCATAGTACGTTACTTTAAATCCATTTTGATTCAGGAGACGTAGTAACTCTTCCATTACAAAACTTTCTCCGAAGACAGCCCCCTTGCGATCTATGCTACTACTGTTTCTTCCATAATGGTCATGTATACCAATCTGCTTTTCAGCATACCGTCTGTAGCTTTTGCTGTCGATCCCTCTTCTCCTCGACGTGTCCAAGAAAGCAACAAATATCTGAGAAAGCAGCTAAAAGTACTTTTATGTCCTTGTAAGCATATTCTACTCTTTTGTTTCTGTTTCTGTTATCATACAAATAATGGTATCGAAGCAGTAGTCTGGTTGCCAGGCCTATGTCCCTAATATGTATGTCGAGAAGTTCTTCTGAAATCGCAATGAAAGCAATTTACTGACGTGAATAAAGGACAAACTTCATTTCCAGATGTGACTCATTGTACATCCTTGTTTACTATCAATGCAGATTGTTATGTTTTTGCCAGAAATTCCTTTCCTGGTCATTTATTTTCTGGCGATTGAGATACCAACCAGTTCTGTTAGACCCACGCTGGTATTTTTACCATTTTCCACTTAATCCTTAGGCTCAGTGAGCTGGAGTAATCTCCACATCCTGAGCCTTCTTTGGTTTCTGAGCCGTCTGTGTGTATGGGTATTGCATTTGTAGCATCTGACTCAGTGTTCTATTTTATTTGTATTTTGTAGGGTTTATTAAACACACACCTGGGTTAAGTTGCTTCACTGGTTACCTGCAGCAGAGGTTGCGCAGTAAGCGCTTCTTGCCATAGGTTCAGCCTCAATTGACCCATTCCTACTTCGAGGTTTACACCATGGCCACAAACATAACCTCCTTAACGTACAGGTCCAGAGTGGTCAAACCAGTAATACATTCCATTGCCGCGGTTGGTGTTGTTCTCAGGACTCCTGTGATGTTAAAACGAGCCAATCGCTGTATTTGATATAATTTTTGGATGGCCATTGCTTGTAGAACAGTCCCCATGCAATGGCTCCGTACGTTAACATAGGTCTTATTATTGCAGTGTAGATCCAGATGACCTCACAGCGTAAAAGACCCCATGTGCATCCCACTGTACTCCGATATAGCTCATCAGCCACATATGCAATACTTACTCTCTCCATGTAACTCCGCTGATTTTCTGATGAATGGATAAATGAAGCGCCTGAAATGTGTTGATATGAGAATTCTATATTTCCACTGGGGTTTCTCCAGGCCGGAAAACCTCAAAAACTCTAATAAATACTTAAACTTTCATCTCAAAAAGCCAGTTCGGGTCCCGCGGTGATCGATAAACGATATGATAACAAAAAAAATATGAATTGGTGTTCAAGAAAAATAATTAAAAGCTTATATGAAGTTCCTAAGTGAAGTTGCATATTCCAGGAAGCTTAAATGGAAATACCAACATATTCTTAGTTCCGAAGATACTGGAAGAATAAAATTTGGTATCAACATCTGCTGGTATTATTTATTATGGTGAATTTCACGGATAACATTCAAAATTTTTTGGAAACTCCGCTTGGACTTCAGATTAGGAAAGATAGATCCACTTCCAGTATGGAGTCAACACCATTTCATTTTTCGTCGAGGAGAAGAGGAATCGACAGCAAAAGCTACAGACGGTATGCTAAAAGGCAGATTGGTATACATGACCATTGTGGAAGAAACAGTAGTAGCATAGATCGCAAGGGGGCTGTCCTCGGAGAAAATTTTGTAATGGAACAGTTACTCCACCTATTCTAATTATTCCATATTTTTAAAAGCTCGACGTTTTATTGTTTTACTGATTGTACCTGTACATAGCATCATAGTACGATCGAATATGCACTAAGTTATCTTTAACAAAATCACCATAATATGAAATGACATTCTATATAGTCGAAGACTCAGAATATTCTCTTCACACAACCCAAGTTAGGGAAACAATATATTGAAAATCCTTCATTTTGGGCACAAACAATGATGCAGAATTACTCCTGAGAATTATGTATCAATTGATTCCATTATCTTCGAAATTAAAATAATAGCATTTTCTATCGACAGCTTGTTCTTCCAGGGGCTAGGGTGTATAACAAGTTCATCGAAAATTTACTGAATTAATCTTTATTTTGAGACATTCTCTGTTACTGATTCTCCAACATTGGAACACACTGGTTCAGCTACTTCCATGCAAGTATTGTAGTCCAGAAAATTGTTCTTCGACTGATTACATCCTCCATAGACATCTTCAATACACGTTCCGTTGTCTATACTCCATCTCCACCTGGGTATGTATGCTTTGCAACCAAATGGGCCTTCTTCAGTGGTTTTGTTACAATCTGGAAACAAACATGTTTTCTCCTAGGAAATATACCAAAACTCGATTTTTGCGGTTTGTATGTCTAGGATTTTAAGACGGAAGAACATATTTCTTGTGAAAAACTCTATTATACAGGTTGTAACATAAGTACGTTAATATATTCAAGAGACGTATTCCTGAGACAATTTAAAAAAAAAAGTTTATATGAACTTGTGTCCGAAAATGCTTCGTTTCGGAGATACGGGGAGTTGAAATTGAATTTTTTTGTTAGTTATTTGAAAATAACTCTTGCAAAAAATAAGTTATTTGCACGAAATTTATTACCCGGAGTTTTTTTGACGTGGGAAATCATAATTTCGTATTAATTTTCATGTAACATCTTGAGGGCTCTGCGTACACTGTCATTATTTATTTCAAATTGCCCTAACTTTTTTGACAGTGAACTTTTGGTACTTTTCATGAAAAAATCCAATTCCCACACCTTTTCCAAGTAAAAATGGTACACCTCCTCAACAACGCTGGAGGTGACCGTTTTCGAGATATTTACAATTTTCTATATCGATGCATATTACATTATAGCCAAATTTGATTTCAATAATTTTGGTCACTCTCCGCTTGCAAATTAAGTTGATTAAATCGAGTAGGCTATGAAAGTTTGTTTATAAAAACAGAAGTTAGCTGTCACATTTTTAACTATTAATTGACCATGCCCGACTTCACGAATGCTGAAATGGCTGATATGGTTTTTGCATACGGCTTTGCTGACGGAAATTTAAGCGAGACCAGACGCATCTATCATCCCCAATGCGTGACTCCTTTTGCAGCGACATTTGCGAATCATTTCCGGCGACTTTCTGAATCTGGAAGTTTTGAAACAAATTCTGCAGTAGGACGGCCACGGAATACAAGAACTGTAGAATTGGAGAAGCGAATATCGAAGAAATTAGTGAACATCCAGAGACAAGTACAAGAAAAATTTGTCAAATTTTGAATGTGTCACAAGACAGTTTACAGAATTTTAAAGGAACAGCAATTATATCCTTGTCATATTCAGCGTGTCCAGGCACTTAAGCTACGTGACTTCCAACCACGTATCGAATTTACTCAATGGCTTCAAAGAAAAGTCGAACAACATCCGCAAATTTTATCGAAAATCCTCTTCACAGATGAAGCTAATTTTTCAAGAAATGGTATCATGAACTGATGGGCGGAAGATAACCTACATGCGATAAGGCAAACTCATTTCCAAGATAGATTCTCTTTCAATGTATGGGTAGGCATAATTGGGGATCATTTAATTGGGCCCTATTTTCTCCCCTTACGTTTGAATGGAGATGCTTACCTACATTTTTTGGAACACGAGCTTTCCCAACTTATGGAAGATGTTCCAATTTGTCTCCGAAATCACTCTTGGTTTATGCACGATGGAGCTCCTGCTCATTTTAATGTGATAGCAAGAAATTTTTTAGACGTAGCATATCCCCAACGATAGATAGGAAGAGAAGGCACTGAGCATTGGCCCCTGAGGTTACCGGACCTCAATCCCGTCGATTTTTCCTTTTGGGAACACCTAAAATCACCAGTTTATGCTAGCCCCATTGGAAACGAGGAAATGTTGAGGGATCGCATCATAGCTTGCTACGAAACGATAAGAAACACTCCGGGCATTTTTCAACGGGTGCGGAATTCTTTGATGAGGAGAGCAGAAGCTTGTATTACTGTTGGGGGTCGTCACTTTGAACAGTTGTTGTAATAGTTGTTTTGTTCAAGTTTTATATGTTTATTTTCCTAATGAATGACATAGTACTTATCCGATTTGTTTTTTTACAAACTCCGAAATGTAGCACTTTCTAATTGAATAATTAAACCTGACAATTTTTTTTATTTGGATTGAATAAGCAGTTCGATAATGCTCAGTTTAGAAGAAGTCTGTACGGGTAGGTATACTGCGTATAAAGTTTGATGAAAATAACTAAAATTGCAAAAACTTATGACAAAAACCTGCCATGTTTTGAAAAATTTCAACAATCTGTATTTCGAAACTGAATCATTCTTCGTTAAACATTTTATAGGAAAAATTTGTTTATTTTGACGAGATCCACCACATACTTAGTTTTTATAATATTCTCAGCAACTTCACTTAGCGCCCTAGGAGCTAAGTAATATGCATCGATATAGAAACCGGGTCTAATCTTCACAGCGGACTCCTATAGCGGGGAAACGACGAAATGTATCGAACATTGCGTCAGCAGAAGCCTGCACCGGTCGGCAGAAGAGATCCGACCCTGCTACACGACAACGCCCGTCTACACGTTTAACAAATCACCGTTCGATAATTTAACGAATTGTGCATCAAAGTTCTACCTCACCCACCACACTTTGCAGACCTCTCGCCAACTGACTACCATCTTTTCAAGCACATCCATAACTTTCCTACTGTTAGAACCTTTGGTGTAATCAGGACAAGGCAAAAACGGCCTTCGTCGACTTCATCGAATTCTGAGCACATAGTTTAACTTTCGTGCTGACAGAATGAATTGATTTGTGTTACGTTAGCAAATGTGCACTGATTCTGATGACGCTCATGTTGATTGAACTGAAAACGTATTATTTGAGATATTAAGCTTGTCGCCTACTTGTTCGGCCCATCACAGCACGGCTAGTGGGCGGTTGTCCATTCATTTTCATTGTTTCAATACTATACGTATTTTGACGGGACGGGCCGTGCTGTGCCGGACAAGTGGGCGACAACCTTTAAACTTGTCGTCACTTGTCCGGCACGGCGCTGTAGTAGCATCGCCCACTTGTCCAGCTACAACCAGCATACTGAGGGTGGTCTTTGCTCGATTTCAAGGAAATTTCAGATGACATCGAGCGGTGACAGAAACATGTAAGTTCTGACGAAGAAATCTTCATTATAGTGGCCGCATTATTGAATGTGGAAGAAAGCAGTCACAAGAAATAATGGTATGGGTCCATTTCATTAATTAAAAGAGGAAAAATCTGGGAGAGTTTCATCATCTTTCCAACGACCTGGAAGAAGACGAGGATAAATTTTTCCAGTATTTCCGAATTACTCCAGGGAAATTTTCAGAACTTCTAGATATTCTAGAGCCTGCCTTCACAAGCAACTCAAATTTTTCTTGTCCATTTTCATGGGTTCCGTCTAGTACTCTGCTGTCAAATGATGGAATAACAAAACAGAGAGACATTAGGCACGTTTGGACAAGTTGATGCTGGCCGGCTGGCCGGCAACGCGCACACTTGGCCAGTTCGTAACAGCAAGTACCAATATTTGCCGGACAGGATCGTATTGCTGAAATTCTTTCCAGCGGCGGACACTCTTGGCTGTGCCGTGCCGGGCTAGTGGGCAGATGTCCATTCATTTTCATTGTTTCAACCCTATACGTATTTTGACGGAACGGGCCGGGCTGTGCTGTGCCGGACAAGTGGGCGACAACCTTTAAGCTTGTCGTCCACTTGTCCGGCACGGTGCTGTCCGTCGCCTGATGGCGACGGATAGTAGCATCGCCCACTTGTCCAGCTACAACCAGCATTCTGAGGGTGCTCTTTGCTCAATTTCAAGGGAATTTCAGATGACATTGAGCGGTGACAAAAACATGTCTATCACCAACAGTTCTGACGAAGTAATCGTCATTATAGTGGCCGCATTATTGAATGTAGAAGAAAGCAGTCACAAAAAATAATGTAATGGGTCCATCCCATTAATCAAAAGAGGGCAAATCTGGGAGAGTTTCATCATCTTTGCCCTCTTTGGAAGAAGCCGAGGAGAAATTTTTCCAGTATTTCTATATGACTCCAGTCAAATTTTCAGAACTTCTGGATATTTTGGAGCATGCCTTCACAAGCAACTCAATTTGTCCTCGTCCATTTCCATAGGTAGCGTCTGACACTGTGCTGTCAACTGATAGAATAGCAAAACAGAGAGACAGAAACTTCTCAGGCACGTTTGGACGAGTTGATGCTGGCAAGCGTTGGCCGGCGACGCGTTCACTTGGCCAGTCCGTCTCAGCATGTACCGTTATTTGCCGGACAGGATCGGAGAGCTGGAATCCTTTCCGGCGGCGGACGCTCTTGGTTGTGCCGTGCCGAGCAGTGGACGGTTGTTCATTCATTTTCATTGTTTCAATCCTATACGTATTTTGACGGGACGGGTCGTGCTGTGCCGGCCAAGTGGGCGACAACCTTTACAGTTTAAAGTAGACTCATAAAAATGGACAAAACTCTTGAAACAATCTATTCTTATTATGAAATTCAATTCATGTATCAAAATAACTGTTAATTCAGCACCAGCTTGATTATTGCTGAATCTCTTTCGAAAAGTCTTTCATTTTAAATTTCAACGTACGTAACTTTCGAATAGGCAATAGAATAGACTAACTGATGTATCGTTTCATAAATCTCACCTTCTTGTTGAAAATCTCTCGTCGTTCCTTGACAACTGATACAAATCAATTCTAAAACAAAGCAAACCAACGAAATGGAAAAATATACTTTCATCATTCTGATAACGTTGCAAGCACATTCAAGTTACTAACAGTTACTCATACTGAGCAATCTACACGGTATCTTATCTACCTTGACTATTTTTGTTTTATAATTCCGTTTTGATTTATGAATATTCAGTTTGTCGTATGTCGAACCGTGATAGTAAGTCGCAATTCCGTTACATTTTTTCCTGGATAATTTTGATTTACAAACGCTAGAGATACCCTAGTTGTGACGTTACTCAATTGTTGATATAAATTTATAATAATTCATTTCAAAAAATGATAAACTGTTGAAATTGTAAAAATTATTCAGGAACGAAGACTTTTATTGTGACCTGAATAAAAAAATCTGGAATTTATGAAAATTCAATAAGCAAATGATAACTTTTCACTACTACATTCAAAAAATGAGGTCATTGTAAAAACCGCGAAAAGTAGATGCTCGATAGTTCCACAGCAAGTTCTTGAGGTTGTATTACTTTTCCTGGGTTCTTTTCGGGTGGATTTCTCATTCACCTGACTTGTCGCCATTATTTTCTTTACCAGGAGCTGCTTGAACAATGAAACCTGTTGGAATATATAGGAGACGTTTTGGAAAGCCTGATTTCATTGATTCATCAAGTAATGGTACTATACTCTTATCCGTGAAAAGGACACAAATCTTTCAGATAGTGCGATGAAAATAAGTATGTCCATACCACAGTCATATCTCTTTCTACTGTTAAACTCAATAGTCAACAGATTTCAGTTATGATTGGTAAATGACTATTGAATTTCTTTTTTGATAATAGTTTTGAAACTAATCAGAAATAGAAGTTGACAGAATTTAACTCAATTCTCTATTTAATACTGACTGGTTCTCAACATACTGATATTTTGTAGAGGAAACATAAATTATTGAATTAGATTTCATTTTATTAACGCGTTTCGTCACACGGTAGCTTCATCAGTTACTGATGAAAAACATTCATTGTGAAAGGCCTGTAATTATTATCATGGATGGATATGAAACTTGTAACTTTCATGCTAGTTTTATGGAGAAGTAAAATACCTTAGACAAAAGGTATCGATTGACTTCTCATCCTCATTTGACATTCAGAAGTGTACCTCGTAACTTTCTGATTATTTCTTTCATATGTAGGTGCCATCGAAAATGTCTATGGATACCTAGATATTCTATTGAATCGTCTTCAGGTATGTGATTATTGTCTCCATTATTGTCTTCACATCATACTGCAGTACATTACTGCAGTATGATGTGAAAGGCAAATATTTGTTTTTTTTTCGAAATTGATCGTAAGTTTATTGTGACAGAACCATTTTTGGATCTCAATGAAATCTTTTTCTGCAGACATTTTCAATTGGTTCCATGAAGAGTCGGTATACAAGACAGCCGTATCGTCAGCAAAGCTCAAAATTTTACCTTTTGTTGGTATCTGCGATAGTTCATTCAAATATATTGTGAATAGGATTGGTCTTAGAACCGTTCCTTGCGGAACACCATAAGTAACAATTTTGGGATAACTCATAATTGTTATTATATACCACACAAATACATTTCGAGCAAAAAATGAACAGACAATAACAAATTATAATGGAACTAGAATATTTTTTATTTGTTTGTCCATAATTCCACTTATTTCATTGTAATTGTGTAATGCATTTACATTGAAATGACCTTCGCAACAAAAACAGGTTAATTTTTGGCATAGCTATTTGCAAGGTTTTCTTAACTTTATAATTTTTGGTAAAATTCACAAACAATTTTTGTGATTAATTTCGAGTTATATAAATACAATTATGTACCATATAATAACTTTTTGTGCGTTTTTTATCCTCCAAACTCCTACAACATAGTCGAGTGAATACAAAACAACCGAAAAATAATTGAACTGTCACAGAAACGACTATAAGTAACAGTTATTATCCGTGGACTCTGTATTTTATATATCTGGTGACGTCACACCCCTTTTCGCTGAACCGCTTCGCCAACTGAAACTGTTCCCCTCCGAATAATTTCAAAATTCACCAAAAAACGCTCCTTAGTCGCCCCGCCAATCGAATTCACTGTCAAATTGGCCCTACACATCCGTCAATGAAAGCAAATAATGGGATAAACGGGTGCGAATGGTGAGACCGGATCAAAGTACACGGTTGCTACGTGACCATTGATTGATGTGATTTTAACACACTCATTAGTATCGTTACATGCGGCCGACAACGCGCTGCGGAGCGTCTAAATGGCGTCGGTCGGCATACATGTTAGTGTCACAATTTAGGCAGCGAGTCGGCTACATTTGATAATATATTATGGAGGTATGAAATGGGTATTGTTGCGCGCGAGTACAACCATTTGTCAGACTTGAAAACCGTCGAGTTAGCACGCTGCTAACATCGAAATAGGAGGAAATGACGTATTTTATCGGATGTTGAGTAATGCAGAAGCTCTGTGAAGTTTCCAATCTGAATATTGTGAAAAAATAATCATCATTTCTCCTTGATGTTGCAACGAACTCAATTGGGGAAAGAATGTTCCAGAAATTATTCAAAGAAATCGATGAAAAGCATGGAAAGTACAGTGGATTGGAAACAGCCCTGCAAAATTTTATTCATCAACTGATTGGACTTTAGACTATCCCAAAAGTTTGGTGAAGAGTCTGTGAAAAATCCTGTGGCCTGACGCCAGAACAAATCCAATGGATATATGTGATGAGTTATCACGTGTAGGGCAGTTATCTGGAAGTTGAGAGCTCCACAGTAAAAGGCTCAAAAAATATCTCAACTGAACACATACGGACTTGCTACTGAACAGGCTTTCAGACCCACGTCTTATCCACATATTCCTGGAGATATATGGGCAACATGCATAATTATATAACAAAACAGGCCTATGCGGAGTTTAACAAACTACTGGCAGATACTGAAAGCCACAGCATTTTGGGAATGACCTCCAACAGTCAACTAAGGCCTGCATCAACTGTTTGATAATTGTCTTCCAGACATTATTTGGGTTCTCCATGAATTGCTTGCTTTCTATGATCCATCCTCTCACATTCGTAAAAAACATGAGCTATCTCTCTTACTTCATTGCATTGCCTGCATTCAAGGTGTCTTTTATAATTCCTTTGGTGGCAAACTTCTTCATAGGAGAATTCAAACAACGGGTCTGAGAACAAACGGCAGTGAAACCATTTGTTGGCTGCATAACATTGATGATGTCTTCGAAGTATCGCAGCAGCATAGTGAAAAGCAACAGAAGAAATTTCTATCATATCCAAACTCAGTTATACCAAAAATTCGATTCCTAATAGCCTTCTTGAATTCACTGGGGAACAAAGGTGAACATGTGGCATTAGGTCATAGAGTGTACCGGAACCCACGCACACAGACAGATATATGAACAAATATCCCAATCACTAGCCACGACAAAAGGGAGAGGTAATTGAAGTTTTGGTTGACAGGACCAGAGGCATCTGTGAGCATCTGAGTGTTTCTCCATGGAACTGATTCACAAAAAAAAGGTTTTCATAGGAAATGGACAAAACAAAATCAAATTTGAGCAGGCTATACTACACCAAAGTAACTCCAGATAGACCCGTTGATAAAAAAAATACTTCTTCCTTATGTTCCCTTATAGAGTTTACAGTTTCTTGACAGTTCGGCTTTGAAGTCATTTCTGAGAAAGCATTGCTACACTAAAATCTAAATCTGTTCACTCTCCAGGACTCTGCAAGTCCCAATCTGCCTACCCCAAGTGGGTCCTTAGGTTTCAATTTCGTATTTTCTTGCATGTTAAGGTACATACAGTAGGTCATGTGTGCAGTCTTTTGCGAATGACCTTCAAATGGTCGCAGTGTATCTGGGTATATTATGAAGTCGTCAAGAGATACCTTGCAAATATTTGCCAACTGAACCCGCGAGGACTTAGGACATCAGCTTTTGGAGCTGAGTTCTGGTCCACCACACTCTGCGTACTTCCACGACTCTCTCTCTCATCAAAAGAACCTAGCAGAAGGTATTTTGTAAGATTAAGTTTGGCACCTCTGGGACTATCGACTTGTTGATGTGTGGATCGTCCACACAGTTCCGCAACTTGCCACCCTTTCCATGGACAATTCCCTCTGTAGTGCAGTACGGGAAGGTGCTTCATGCAATTACTCCCGCTCCTAATGAGTTGGCGATTTCTATATGAACTTTCTGTTCTCTCGTTTCGGACAGTATGGCCAGGAATTCAGACCAGAGACAATCTGTTGAGTCTTTCTATTGAGGAGAGTCGTTTTTGACAATTTGTTAACAATTTTGACGTTGCTTGATAGGAGCTAAGAGCGTCCAACACCACTTGACTATCCGAGAATGTTTTATTGACTTGTGTATGTGGTTGGATTCTTTCAATCTCTCCGCACAGAATTCAATAGCGTAAATTTCCGGTTGAAATACAGTCGCATAGGTTCCTAGGCAGGTTGATATATCTGTCCTGGGTCTGCGACTGGAAACACCTATCTGCTCTTAATCTGCTCTCTACTCGGGAACGGTATTCTATAAAACAGTTCGTATTTGACAAGGGTGTATTCGAGGAGACAATCAAACAACCACGAACAAGGGCCATCCCTCATTAAACACGAATCAAAAAAGAGAAACCCTTTCGTGAAACAAGATATACCAAAATGGCTGAAGCAAGAATATGGCTAGTTTATCTATTGGGAGCAAGAATAAATGCATGTAGAATAAATGCCTTTCCCACTACAGGGGGCACATATTTCTGCAAAATAGATTCTGACACGTTTTTTGATAGAAAGAGTCTTGGAAGTACAAAACTTTTGGTTAGCGAGTTCAGAAACCTCAGTTTAGAGAACAAGCACAAGCTGTTAGTATTCGAATGCTGATTCCTTGCGGGTTCAGTGGACACATTTTTGCAAGGAATATCTTGCGCTATCGGCTCTGTTCTTCAACTCTCTGAGCCGCAGAAGATAATGTCTCTTGTTGATCAACAATATTTTCAAAAGTCACCCTTGGCGTTCTTTTCATTGAGGTCGGTATGGTTACTGGGATGTAGGATTATAAGTCTGACTGCATTCCACGCACTACAAGGAAGAACT